CAGGTTTCTTTTAAGGTGTCCTGTACTCTGTGTATTGGAGATACATAAATGTATAAGTAATATTGATTGTTCAGATCTTTCTATATAGCAGCAAACAAGTAGATCTCAGAAACCAAGCTCATGTAGCTAGAAGGTAGATGAGATGAGTAAGTAAAGCAGAAGGCAATAAGAAAAACTACCAGACTCCTCTGTCCCAAACAATATGTAATTTCATTGTTTTTCTAGAAAGTTTTTCTTCATTTGAAGAACTCAGAATGTCTAGGGACGTTGAAAATCATGCCATACTTCATCTTATTAATACCTCTTTCTAAACTACGTGTGCTCTTTGGCTGAAGCACGCTTGCCTGCTGCTTTTTGTAGGCAACACACTGAACTTTTGCAAAAGGGTGTGTGTTACTTTTCAGACCATCTTGGCGAATGAAAGAGTGGGTGGAGAGTGTTCAGCTCTTCATCCACTGGCACTTCTGGTTTTCAGAGGTTGTGAGCTGGGGGGGATTGCTCCTTGGTGCAGGCAGGGCCACTGGCCATGGGATGAAGCCATTGACTTGTGGTGCAGTCCATCTCTGTCAGACCTTCATGCTGTCCTAAGGTGCTGGGATGAGGAGGCACTTAAGAGGGTGCCAGGCAGAACCTGTTGAGGCTGGAGAGTTTATGACTTGGAAAGACATGACACCCCTTTGGGTAAGTGGAGAGCGTGTCTCTGTGTCACCTTGTAATAATCAACAGGTGGCATTAGGGCATGGTGGCGGTGACCATGGGCTGCTAGCCCTTGCTTCAGAAATCAAGCAATGAAGTCACTCTTGGCTGTTAAGAAAAGAGGGGAGTTTACAGTGTTTGTGCTTATGAGCAGAAGGCAAGAAAAAGAGTAAATACCATGTAGGAACATGTACCTGAGCCTGCCAGATCTTCAGCAGAAGCAAGGGAGGGCAGTAGGCCCGTTCCTGTGAGATTTGGGGAAAAGAGGTGTGCAGAGAGCCTAGTGCTGCCGTATCTCCGCCCTCATAGCTAATCCCAAAATGGGATCGTTTTTTAGGAATCCACTTTGTTCTTAAGTGCCCTTGGCTCTGTCCTGTCACATGCAATAAGTACCACAGTGGTTTTGCCCAGGCCTATCCCAGAACTATTTGCCCTGAGAACGGCAAGGAAGGCTGGCAGTGCTGTCTGCTACCCAGGCTTTGAGGTAGGCAAGCCTGCCCAAATCCAAAAATAAGAGCTGAGTCTTTCTCTGTAGCTTGTCCTGGGGTTTCATTTTTCTCTTTACTTGAGTCTTTGTTTCCACTGCTGTGGTTTTTCATCAGTTTTGATCAGAGTCAAGTCATGCTAACATTGCAAACGTGCAAGTTACCTAGAATGGAAAATCGTCTCAGTCTGTTCAGCTCCATTGGCCTTTTGAGAGCGGCACCACTGTGAAATGAAGGCTGGGGAAAAAGAGGGGTCCCACTGCTGGCATTATATCAGGCTGCTTACTTTCTTGATATTTGGTGTTTTCTTAAGGTTCCAAGCAGCCAAAGCTAGGGGTAGTGCCTGTCTCAGCTTTCACTGAAAAGCAAAATACTTCTGCCTTCTGAGTGCAGAGCAGCACAGCACCTGCTGGGTTCATGTGACTCTGAAGCCAGAATGTAGAGAAAAAGACGCTGTCATTTTTGTCCAATCTTATTGCTGTTGAGGGAAGTACTACATTTTGGGGAAATGAGTGCTGATTGACCATCATTTAATTCTTGGGGGTTAGCAGTACAACATGCTGCAGGTGTGATAGGCTGCCGAATGGCCCTGGTTGAATTCGGCTTCTTTGCAGCTGGCAGGGTTAATGGTGTGTGTATGGGAGGAGGAAGGAGGAGTTCTACCTCAGAACGAGCCTTCATTTGCCTCAGCTGGGGGCTAGAGAAGCTGAGCACTGCCTTATTTAGTGCACCAGGAAAAATGAAAGAGCTGACATATAATACGCCTTTAATTTGTTTGAAGCTGCATTCATTTCTCCAGAAGGGGGAGAGTGGAGTATTCGAATGCTGGGAGGAATGTGCCTAATTCAGAACCGTCCTTCCTCCCTAACTCAGCAGACACTACAGAGAAAAATCAAGACATTGAGAAAAGGACTGCCAGGTCTACTCATGTGTGTTGCAAAGTCCAGCATTATCTGACTGTCGAGTGAGTTTTCGTATTTGTGACCCAATAGTTATGTATTAAGAGTTCATAGTGGATTTTGATACCATTTCGGTTACTGGGCAAATATCATCAATGTGTAGAGGTGCAAGCCATGAGCAGGCAGTGACTGCAGGTAGAGCACACACGTGTATGGCAGGTCTGCTGCTTCTTTCTGATGGTAGAATTTGGAGTTGGCTCACGTAGCAAAAGAAGGGAGGGCAGAATGAGTTAAAAGTATTTTTGTTACACTGAATTTTTAGAGTTTTATCATCTGCTATATAAATTGTTACTTTTTTTTTTTGAAAACCAGACTATTTCCTCCGTCACAGTTAAATCTATTTTCTTTTGACAAGCCCTGATTTGTTTCTCCTGTTTCTGAAAGGATCAGATGGGTAATGGAAGCTGTACAGCAACTTTATGTATGCTACTCAAGATAGTAAAATGCAGGCCTACAATAGGCCTTTTTTCAGCAGCTGTAAAGCTGTTGTGTGACTACAGTGAATCCATTCAGTGTCCCCCACGCTTGCTGGGAGCACCCTGGAGAAGAGAGTTGTATACTGAAATGACTATCCAGCAAAACGGTTTCAGAGGGACAGGCTGATGACTCACTCCTCATTTTGGTTTGCAAGGTCTTTTTCTGTGTATGTGAAGTTTCATCCTGATGCAAGTTAAGACATCTATAACTTTGCCCATGTTACCATATTATCCACTAAATCAGCATGGATGTTGTGTTCCTTGCATCAGCCCTCCGAGATGGGAAAATACTGTTATCTTTGTTGTAAAGGGAGGGGAAACTGAGGCAGGGAAAAATTGGGGTTAAGTGACAATGTGCATTAGGAGCCAAACTCTCATACTTTAGTTGCACTGTAGGAGCTCAAGTGTCGTTCAGAGCTATTTCAGCCCTTCAGGAAGTCTCACATAGCATGGGCCTGTAGGTCATGCAGAAAAGCCTGGAAGATAGCTGGGTTCTGTCTATCAAACAACTCTTTTAACCCGTTAAACAGAGAGCATTAAAAATGTAAGTATGTAAGTGAAAACAGGAGGATTTTATGCTGATTTTGATCTTAAAGTAGAATCCCCAGCCATCTTGCATTTGAATCCGGGAAAAAATTGAGAGGCAGAACCTAGTTGATTTGGCAGGGTGACACTCTGTAAGATAATCCCTTTAACACTTTTTCTTAAATTAAGAATGGTTTCTAGGTGGCATAAGTCATGGACAGACTGTCCTAATTTCACTTTGAACTTCCAGCCTTCTCTGGATTTGTGTCACAGCTTTAGAGGGCTTTGTCTGCCTCCTGCAAGTCCTTAGGCTTGGCTGTTGAAGCCTTTACTTGTGTTGAGTGAGAGCAGGCTCCTTGAAGAAAGAGACAACACCACCTAAGCGAGAAATAAGCACAGTAGAGTAGGGGAGCAGGGTAATTTAAACAGAGTATTTTGTCTTTTTTTGTACCATGAGCACTTTTTGGGGAACGGTGACAGAGGTGCAGCCTCTGTCAAGGGAAGCCCACTTTCCCCCTTGTTTGTGTGTTGGTCTGCTTGGCGTTTTGGGTAGTTTTCCTCCAGGGTATGTTGGGGAATAAACTGGCGTATAAAGCTGTGCTTTTTGAATTTTTGACCACTTTTGGAAAAGTTGTGTTTTCTGAAGTATATGCAGCCACAGAAAGCATGTGAATAATGTCTCCATTTCTTAATTAAAAGCAAGGGAAAAAGTTGTTCAGGCTGCCTGTCTGTCCTAGCTGAGGAAGAAAATCAGAGTGGTCTGGCTGACATGCATGCAAGGTCCAGTCCTCCTCGTTGTTGTGCTGCTGGCTTCATTGGCGATTGCTGCAGGTGTAACCCTGGGAACAGTTTGCCTTTTAAGCTTTTTACAGAGCAAAGACGAATGTGGTTGTTGGTCCTAAAAATTGTTTGTAGAGAAATAACTGGGATGCCTGTAATCCAGAGAGACCATGCAAATGCAAGACCGCACTCTCAGAAGGAAAGTGAACTCTGCACTGGCTGGCAGCGTTTGCTCCTTGTAGCCGGGGGATTTTCCTGCTGACAGAGTCTGCTTTGGAGTCTTACGTACTCAGCTGGCTCCCAGCCAAGCCTTGCTCTGCAGGTATGGGAGAGGGAGGGGAGTGAAACGGGGGGGGTGGTGAGACAATGTTCTGATAGCAGCACTCACTGAAAATTAAAAACCCTTCAGACCTTTTTTGGTGATGGTGGAGAATGTCAAAATTGATTGTATTAGAGACCTGCCAGTTACTCTTACTCATTTGCTTTGTCGCTCCTCCTCCCTTCCTTCCTCTCTCGTCAGCTGGGCTGGGTTTTGTAGTGCTAATGCTGCATTACTTCTCCAGCAGGGCTACTACTTCCCCCATGCTGCTACTACAGAAATACTACAGTAACTCAGTGAAGGTTTAGGGAGTTGGCCATATATGGATTATTAGTGATAATAACCGTGGTAGTAATAATAAAACTGTGTAGCAGTTGGATACTTTACATAATGATTTTTCTTCTGGTTTATATTCTGGACTTTCTTCCTTTTTCTCTGTCATAAATTTGTGGAGTCTGGTATTTACTGGATTGTGCTTTAAATGAGTATTTTGTGGTGTACTGTCTTGCAGATTTTAAAAATGGCATGGTTTTGAGTGGTCTGAAAGAGTGTGAGGGGGTTGTGTTTGGTGTTTTTTTGTTTGAGTTTTATTTTAAAGTTCAGCCCACAGAAGAGCTGCTGCTGCGGGAAGTTACCACTCTTGCTTTAGATAATGAAATATACATTGAAAAAAGGTCAGGGATTTCCCCTGAGCCACCCACCAGTCACTTGAAATGACATTTTCATTCTGAGTGGTTTTTTTGTTTTGTTTTGATTTAAGATCCTGGAGCACAGGGGAAGAGTTTTAATGCGAAATACAGAAAAAAAAGTCTGCAACATCTCCTGTGAGAGGAGGGAAGAAAGGAGATTTACAATTGCATTTTGAAACACTCATGATTTGAGGTAAGTGCTCGGAGGGTCTTGTCATAAGTTAGTTAGTTTGTAATTAAATTAATCATTATTTGCCTCAGAGTGTCATGATATTTCTGTCTAAGGCAATAAAAACACGCAGGAGAAAGAGGGAGAGAACTGTAACGGCAAACCCAGAAACAGCAGTAAAAATATGTAGTGCATTTATCTTTTTGAAAATGGGGCCCATGAGGTCCAGTCTCACAAAACAGGCAATCACTCTGACATTTATAAGGGTTAAACTCTGTTTAAATCAATGAGGCCATTCTGCCTGAAAGTTAGGCGTATGCCTAAATATTTCCTAGTTTGGAATCTATATCATATGGGAACTCGGCAGAAGAAGCTATTGAAGAACATACAACACACAGCCAGAAAAATGCATATACAATTCTCTTACTGTTTCTCATAATGTCGTGAGTAATCTGATTTTACAGCATTCTTAAGTGATATTTTTGTATTGAATACATATTTCTCGTTTTTATGTTTAAACACCTCATTGAAATACCAAACATCTTAGCAGAGCCCATGAATTCTACACCAGCTTTAATAATGTGTCTGCCTTAATTGCTTCATCAGTGTGCCTTTGAAAAAATAGAGTTAAATGTGTAAAGAAAATAATATCCCCTTTCATAACTAGAGTTGCAAATTGCACTTGTATATTTGAATAGCAGCCAAACTAAGAGTTCCCTGACTGAGGCTGAATTGTGTTGTCCAGAATTAATAATTTTATTTATAAGGACAATGATGACATGCAGGGAAAAGCTCACCTTTTCCCTCTGGTCATCTTTTTTTTTTTTTTTTAAATTCATTTCTCATTGGAATAGAATCATATCTGAGTCTAGTAAAGAGAAAATGTTACAGTTGTAAAACTTTCAACCACTGAAAATGTTGCAGAAATGAACACTAAAAAGCACCAGCCTCTTTCTTAAATAAAAATTTCACGTTATTTACTCTGTTCTGCCCCACAAGTATGCTGAAAGGGACGAAATTGCTGTAAGAAACCTGCAGTATCAAAAAGACACACATAACATGGAAGAAACAGGGTATACATTCCCACAGATCTGCAGAATATCAAAACCCTTTGGCAAGTTGCATTTGCAGACATATGTTGCTTACCAGATTTCAGAAAAGAGGAGAGCATAGCCGACCCCTGGTGATCGCTCTGTATTTGCTTTGTAGGAATTGAGCTATTAAGGTTCTTTTGAAATCAAAAGATGCATTGCAGGAAGCTAAACAGTTCCTTTCTGTAGAAAGTAGACAAGTGCCATTGCTTGGAAAACTGTAATAGTCCTGTAGGTATTTGTACTGATTTATCCAAAAAGTTCAAAACTTTTGCAGATTGGTCTAGCCAACTCCTTTTTACGTGTAGGTCTTGCACTATGGACTGTGAACCCAAACAGTAACACAGCAGTCTTTCATTAGGAGTCTGAGGCGATTTTTGTAGTGGTGAAATGAGGTATTAATGCAAATCTGTTTGAAGGCTCAGGTGGGGAAGTGCCTTGCTCTCTTGGAGGTGTAGGCTGACAGTCCTGGTGAAATCAGTGAGAGGGAAGTGCACTGCAGTGACATTCATGTGATCTCTCTCAGCCCATCTTCCTCTCCGTCCCCCCCTCCCAAAGGCAAGCATTCCTTCTTGGCTCGGCAGAGCATAAATCAAAATGCTTTTATTACTGTTTTTCTTTCATTGACATCAGGCCAGGATAACATGCACGATCTTCCTTTCACAACTGCCTTCTTGTTGCTATCTGAGGAAGCGTACATTCAAGTTCAGGAAAAGGTATCTTAGCATCTGTGTGGCCTTTATAAGCATTTAATCAGCCCTATGTTGCACTCAGAAAACCACTGAAGTAATTTTTAGCTTTCTTTGTATTGGAGAGTGCAGGAGCTCATTGTCAGAGTATTGGCGGGAAGTTCTTTGGTGCCAGAAGATGTATTTTAGGATATCTTAAACTGTACCGCTTCTCTTGTCCTTTCTTGATTATTTTTGTCAGCATGTGAAGAAATAATGCCCCCATTTGTGTGTCTGGAGAAGGACCTGTGGTGTGTGCCAGAGAGTTACGTGGGTGCTGAGCTGAGCAGGCTGATAGACTGACTCTCTCCTGCTTTGTATTTTTCACTGGGAGTGAACACAGGGGACTGAGCCTGCCCAAATTAAACACATGCCTGTTTTGTTTTGCCTTTCTGTGCTCTTTGTTCAGTTGTCAGCATGCCATGTTCAGATGGCAGTGATCAGTCACAAATTGTCCCCTGTCCATGTTCCTTAGCTCTTCTAAACCATTAGTTTTGTGCAGGTCTTCAACAAAGATGGCACTGGTTCGATTTCCCCAGCCCCTGCCCCAGCTAATGGAAGAAGACTTTGTTTGTTTGTTTGTTTGTTTGTTTGTTTGTATTTTCCTCTCAAATCAGCTGCATTAGATCCCAAAGCAACTTGTGTTAAGTGGAAATGAGGCTTTGATAATATGTGTGCTTGTTGGAGACTTTTTTAGATTATTATTTTTTTTTCAGCCCCTGTGTATGGATCTTTTCAATGGGGAGCTGCTGTTATGAATCAGAAGGAAAGTGTACTGGCTGCCAGGCACATAATGGAATTATTCATTTGTTTCAGTATGTGTTTGTGAGCCTTTGTAAAGAGGAGGTGGTAGGGACAGAGAATAGAGACCTTCACTGCGAGGGAGCCAGGAGAGTGTAGTGGCACAGTGCAGGGCAGCACTGTGGTGAGGTGTGGCCGTGCCTGTGTCACTGCTCCCGTGCCTGTTCTGTTGGGCTCTGGTGGGTATTACCTGGGAACTCGCACCACATAGGATGTCACATGGAAATGGGTGAAGCTTATGGAGCCGTTGACTGTGCTTGCTGTAAACCACATAAGGCAAAATATTCAAAAGCTGTAATGTTTTCAGCACTTTCCTTAAACTTTCAAAAGAGTGATGTAAAGGTGAACCGTGCCAATACTGTGCTTCCTCACCGTGAGGCTATTTATTATAAAGGATGTATGATATAAGTCATTTTAGTATGGAGTACCTGAAAGCTTGAACCAAAGCCTTGGATCCAAGCCCACCAGCAGCTTTGCAAAAGGCAGGAACCAGATCTGAAGTCAGTAGTTCACATACTTAATAGTAGAGAGTTGTTTTAACTTACTCCATGAGATGGGAGTAGCCAGAAATTTTAAGCTGGGGCTTTTAAACAAGTTTTTGACTTTCTCACCCAGGGTTCTCCTCTGCCTTATAACCTTATTGGGAAAGCACACCAGCTATTTTCTCCAGGCGACTGTGGCCAGGACACACCAACTCAGGGAATGGAGAAAGGCCTCTGTGGTGTTTACCATTATACAGCCATATGCCTTTTTTCCAGAGGATTTTTTTCTTCTAAAGAAGTTAGACTTCTCTTCTGGATGAATGTCCTTGAAGTCACAGTGGAGGCTTTGGAGGTAGGACACTGAAATTTCAAAGACATCCAGAAACAGTTGATCAGCCTGACATGATACAAACCAGGCCACAATGGCTGGACTCCCACCTCCGAAAAAGTCCTCTCTTGTGATACCACAGCTGAATTACAGACATGAAAAATTACAGCGTTGTAGACAGGAAATCCATAAAGCCTAAATTTTTCTTTCCTTGCTATATATGTGAGTCTGTTCTTATTTGTCCCCTTCTCCCTTGCCCTTGTACACAACATTTTTAGGGCTTTTCAATCTGTAGCTGTGCATTTACTAGAGAGGCATCTGGTTCTGTGTTCCTTTACGCGTCTGTTACATACGTCAGAGTTTCAAATCCAGCACCCAGAGACTTTATGTGTATTTGCAATATTCCCTGTGGGACTTTGAATCCTTAAGCAAATGAATTGGCTGTGAGGATACAAAAATGCAGTGTTTTAATCCGTTGCATATATTACTGCAGTTTATTGCCTATATATTGCCTATATATACTACAGTCTCCTGTGTGTTTGGCAGAGAAGATCTGGTGTGGGAAAGATGAAAAGTGCGGGTGAACTGGAAAGTATTTAGGTATGGCAGTTCATTTACTCCCTCCTAAAACCAGCATATCTCTGGTTGGCAGCATGAGAAACAGTTTTCATCATGATTTGAATATGTCTAACAGGTACTGTCCCAACAGTGTTTGTGTATTTCAAACTAAACTTCAGAGTTCTTGGTCTATGGGGATAGGCCAAGTACCTGAGGCAGCACTGGTAGCTGAGGCAAAGCTCAGGCTTTGCAGTTTTGTCTGGAAATCTGTACTGTTTGCAGCCTGTATAGGAAGCATGAGTGGTGTTGTTTCACCACAAATGACAACCAAGTATTATGCAACCACTCGCTCCCTGCACCCCTGCAGTGGAATGGGGAAGAGAATTAGAAAAAAGTAGGTAAAATCCATGTGTTGAGATAAGAAGTGTTTAATAAATCTAATAATAATAATAATAATAATAATTATAATGATGCTGTAACAAAAAGGGAAATAACCAGAAGAGGAATAAAATCCAAGAAAAACAAGTGGTGCCCAACATAGTTGCTCACTACCTGCTGACCAATACCCAGCTTGTTTCCAAGTGATCAGCCCCTCCTGGGCAACTCCCTCAGTTTACATATTGAGCAGGATGTTCTAGTGCATGGAATATCCCTTTGGCCAGTTTGGGTCAGCTGTCCTGGCCATGCTCCATCCCAGCTTCTTATGCACCTCCTTGTTTGCAGAGCATGGGAAACTGGAAAGTCCTTGACTTAGGGTAAGTCCTTGGCTACTGAGCCACAACTAAAACGTCACTGTGTTATCAACATTATTCACATACTAAATCAAAACCCCACATCATTTACCAGCTACTAGGAAGAAAATTAACTCTATCCCAGGTGAAACCAGGATAGTGCATTACAAATAAGTAACATTCATGTGAACAGTGTTGCCTTCTCTGCTAACCTCCTTGTTCAGGTTTCTGCTTTTCTTTTCCTCTCGCTGGTTCTGCAAATGCATAAAGTTTGCAGAAAACATGTGGCTGAGAAATGATGAGAG